AATAATTTGAGCACAATAAAAGGCCACCTTACCAGTTCGGGATCACTGAATAAACTTTTTCTCTCTTGTTGTGGAGATCAGCTCCAGGTGTGTGACTTCCAGGTGTGTGACTCTCCACACCTGCTCCCAACATTGTTCATTGGGAGTGGGCGGAGCACCTGGCAGGTAGATGCCTTTGATTACCCCGCCCCTCAGCCCCTTACAGTACATGTTGTAAATTGCCACTTTTAGGCAAATACACATACTTTGAAGTAATGTTACTTAAAACAAATTAATGTGTTTATTATTGGTTTCAGCAAGGACACAGGGGTTATACTAGGACGGTGAAAGTGATGATTTGACCATTCATTAAAAGTGCAACAGGCTCCTTTCAACCTATATCAACTAGGATAAGGTGTATAAGTACTCAGATGTTTTACTTCATTAAAAGTAGCAATACTACAGTGTAAAAAGTACTCTGATAAAACGAAAAGTCCCCCATTTTAAAGTAAATGTGCAAAAGTAACGGCATTAAATCCCCACCATCAAAGTACAAGAAGTAAAAATACTTATTTTAAATAATTAGATTACTTGATTATAATTTGAGCTCATTGTAATACTTTAGAAACTGGAGGAGGAGGAGGAGGAGGAGGAGGAGGAGGAGGAGGAGGAGGACTCAGCACATACAGAATAACAAACACTCTGCTGCAGGGAAAGACACCTTGGAGACCCTGTGGACCTTTTACAACTATGTCAATAACTCCAGGTGAGTTCCTCCATGCTACATCACCCTCATGGACATGGCACCAGGAGCAGCAGAGTGTCGAGCTTAAAGCCAGAAGGACACGAAAAAATGATTCATGCAGCACTTCAAGGGCCAATCCATCAAAAAACAACCTACATGTAGTAGCAGCCGCCAATATGAAAGGATTTTCCAAAACATTTTTGTTGCCATGAGTCCATAAAGCTTCAACCTAAATCAAATCCTCTCCTGTTCGAAACATCAATTCAAAGTATTTATCATGAGGAAAACAAAAACTTTTTACCCATTTCTAAAACTAAAGCATACATTTTTACAGAGCTATTTCCTGATTTTGCTTCAATTGAATTATTCTAGCTGGGTGGTCAGAAACATGACGTGTATTCAAAACCTGGGTGGCCAGCTAAGTGTAGTTAGAGTATGAAAAGTGTCCCTAGTGATGTAAAACGTGTTTTACTATTATATATGATGTCTTTGGGTTAATATTTCTGCTGTGTTTGTTTCATTCTACTGCTTTAGATGTTGAAGGTTATGCTTTATTTAATTACTTGATTTACTGCTGTGTACATGTGTAGTTCCATTCACCGCAATTTATTATATTTGTTTTATTTATTTATCTAAAAAGAGACAAAAGCACATTGATTAACATGGGTAGTTGAGACCATCATGTAAATGTGCCAGATTTAGAAATGTAGGCTTATTTTCAACTGAAGTCTCTGGCAGGTAGATGGCATTAAGCTAAATCATACAAGCCCAATTACAGCACATATTAAAGCACACATTTAAAATGAAATACACCTGAATACAAACCTATAAACATGCAACAGACGGAAAAAAACATTGATAGCACAGATACAAGCTAACAGGCACAGACGATTACAAATATATATAATATAACCCCTACTAGTTTATGGCAGTGTATTTAATTGTCCAGTAACAACTGTCTGTTTACAGAGTTAAGAGATGATCCTTAGATCTAGTTAAATAGAGCGGTGCAGTTATGACATATGTTTGTAGTTTCACCAGGAAATTAAACTATAATTTCACCAGGAAATTATAGCTTCGACAAAAATCTAAGGGATTTCCTTTGGATTTTGGAACATTGCTGAAAATAAGTGGCAAACACACATTTATGATACTCAACACTTTTGTTCACCAGGATAATCTCCACATATTAACACCACTTTTATAATAGCTGTAGCGTAAATGGAATCTCCAGAAGCCAAACAACTCGCTGCACCCTCGCTGCGAGGGGGACCCAAGTTCCCATCAGCAAAAACACGTGGGTTTGCTATCCTGGCTCCAAAATGGTGGAATGAGCTCCCCATTGACATCAGGACAGCAGATAGCTTACACACCTTCCGGCGCAGAATGAAAACTCATCTCTTTCGACTCCACTTCGAGCAATATAATTACTATCAAAGCACTTATATACTAATAAAGGACTGGCTTACCTAAAGCCAGTTGAGTAGCACTTGAAATGTTTTTGCTCTATGAAACCTGATGTACTTATATGATTCTGTTTTCTTCAAGTTTGTATTTTGTTGGTCGAACGCACTTATTGTAAGTCGCTTTGGATAAAAGCGTCAGCTAAATGCAATGTAATGTAATATAAAAGTAAAGAGCTAACGCTAGGCTATAAACAAACTACATCCTGGTTGCATTGCATTGCATCGTCAACACCGCTAAGCTAAAGCGTTTAGTAGTGTTATTCAGCCACTTGTTAGCAACCAACGTTTTTATGATACATAGAGGCTTCGGAAAATCACAAGTGGAGTGTTTTATGCTGTCAAAGAAAAAAGTGAAAATCTCTGCTACTTGTGATAACCACAGACCCTATTTCAGTTGTAATAAAAAAAAGAGAGAGAGGACAAGGAATTGGAAGTTGTAAATGCTAACTAATTTCCTGGTTTTGGGACACATTCCTGCACCACTTTATTGTGTTCCATATTGCCCCCTAGGAAAATGCTGACTGCCAAGAGGTACTTTTCTATAAGGTTTTTTACAATGACATCATATTCTATAAGATCATCAAGTGTTTTATTGCTGTGAAAAACACATATCTCTGTGTTGGTGAACCACCAGCAGAGATTCATCAAAATGACCTCACACAGACTCACATCCACACCACTAATGACTTCCTCTCTGTGCATTCAACGGCCCTCATTGTGAGGTGAAATCACATTATGCTTAACATGGCTGATGGTGATCTCACTGGTCTGGACCGTGTGTGTCTTGCCTGTTTCCTGTCAGCTGTTGTTTCTACCGTCTGCGTTGAAGGACGTATGGCGTGATTGTGTGTGTGTAAGTTTATTTAGTCACTTCCTGAGCATGTCACATGTTCCAGGGAAGAGAACACATCTGGAACAACCAATCAACCATCCATCAATATGCTGTCAACACCCTCAGGTACAGTGGCTTTACTATAGTATATGATCTCATTACAGGCTACTACATGGTGGCACTTTATGGTTTGATGTAATCAATGGATGATTTTTTTTTGGTTTGGAGCAGTTTATCCTCAGAATCAGGACAAAGTAAATTCTCATGTAACAATGGTGTACATGATCTGATAACAGTATATTCCTGAGGTAGGCCAAGGCACTTTTGATTGCTGTATTTCTTTCATAACTTTAGTTGTTTGCACATGTTGTGTTGAGTTTTGGCAAAAGATTTCTGAACTTTTTGCTCTGGGCAGCAGTTGAATGTTGGAATAGTGTGTGTGTGTGTGTGTGTGTGTGTGTGTGTGTGTGTGTGTGTGTGTGTGTGTGTGTGTGTGTGTGTGTGTGTGTGTGTGTGTGTGTGTGTGTGTGTGTGTGTGTGTGTGTGTGTGTGTGTGTGTGTGGCTTCACTTTGTTTTTGGACAATTTTTTAAATGTTTGTTTCTGTTTTTTGGGAAATACTGTTTTTTTTTAAAAAAAATTCAAAATAAAATATGAGGGAAACATTTCTCTCCTATGAATAATACACATTTTATTAATAATCTGTAACAAGGCGGAATTGTCTGTTTATAATGCGTTTTGAATTATGTCAGAAATCAGAAAGAAATCTATAAAAAGTAACCAAATATATAAACATGTGTTTTTTATACATAGAATAATTAAGCTCTCCTTGTACTTAAACAATCTATTTCCGACTTTATAAAAATAAGCTTTATTGAAAAAAGTTTGGAGCATATTATGTCCTGTATTCATTTAAAAGAAGTACATTGTGCGTTTAAAACATGTCAATCATACTTTCTGCAGCATCTTTTGCATAACTTGTCTAATCAAGGAACTGACCATGACTATTAGTAGGCATATGCATCTCTAAATGAATAACAATTCCGAGGACTTCCTCACTCTCAGAGCTGTTATTCTTTTGTCTCTCATTTCTTTCTCTGTATGTAGTGTAGTTTTTATGCAAAGCGACATTACCCTCTGGTGGTTTGCACAGGAACTGCACAAAGTCTTTGTCCACTGAGTGGATTGTTTGTTTATTAATAGAAAAGGTGGAACAAAATCCAAATAAAAAGAGGTATGGCCTATTATTGTAATGTAGGTATACAATGCAAGCCACTGGGTCACATGACACAGAAGCTATTCAAGAAAAAACAAGATTTACAAATTGAAAAAAGCTGAATTTTCATAAAGTCCAAATATATAACAAAAAAAGCATTACAATCTAATAAAGAGTTGTGTCTAAGGAGTCACATGACACAAAAGCTATTTGAAACAATTAATTGTTCATAAAATATTCATATAAAATTGAAATAAAAACACTAATACCACAAAAACTAAAATATATCGAATTTGGGGTCAAGTTATCACGCCATAATGCCTTTTGTGAAGATTGGTAGATTTCAGGCAGGCTACTAAAGGTGAACTACACCCTTTTTCAAAACTACTACAGGTTATTTCCATGGTCTATAGATCAAAGCATTAAAGGTCCCATGTCATGGCCATTTCTACTGATCATAATTCCATTGTTGAGGTCTACTAGAATAGATTTACATTGTTCAATTTTCCAAACTCACATTGGTTTCTCATACAGCATCTCTGTATAGTATGTGTATTCACTCTCTGTCCTAAACGGCTTGTTGGAGCTCCCGCACCTTCATAACACACAAGGGGACGGGTAATAACCGGAAAAGCATGACATGGGACCTTTAAAGGCTACACACAATTTATTTTACACTATAGTCATTTCATTCGTAAATAATACAATTTTGATGATTGCAGCTTTACGACCTCAGAAAGTGGATTAAAGACAAACAACGAGCCACTGTAATCAGTTTATTGGTCAAATGAAAGGATGAATGTTGTGAGTACACACTTGCGTATCAAGCTACCAACAGTCCATCTAGTTACAAACATACGTACCCTTTCCGTCTAAGAAACTATTATAAAGGTTAATGGGTTGTTTTTCATACTGACTGTACATAAAAAGAAACCAGGAACTGGATTTGTACATTATAAAAACACCACAACATCTTGGATGAGAATGAAAAAGTTTACATAAAGGAATTTCAAAAGATTTTTCAGTATAAACAAATTTCCAAGACGGATCTTCGCAAAACATATTTCTTCTGCCTAAATAATTGTATCCCCTTTCCACATTTAAGTTCATATATTTCAAAAACAGTTAAGAAACATTTCACTCCTTAAACTGGATCTATTTTACGTCAAATATAAACTTAAAGCTATCTTAAAAAAGGAAAATCTTGTTTTTGCTTGTCGAAGACAATTGTAAACTCGGAGTGATACTTTCACAAAACAATTATCATAAATTCCTCTTTAGTACCACATTATTTCTATTATTTCCAGGACAAAATTTAAGAAAAGAAATACACAAAAAACTGCCAACTTTTAAAAACCAGCTACTACATAAAACACTGGCAGACTTTTTTTTGGAGTAAAATTCACACAAAGAATGACTCAAATTATATACAAATGACTAAAAACATTTCACAATAACTCAGAACGCTGGTGTATAAAAAACAAAAAACATGCCTCACACAGAGGATTTTTCCAGTTGTTCAAATCAGTTGTCATGCTAACGTTAGCTTAGCTTCTTACGCTACAGACGATAAAATGTGATTTCTCTTCAGATTTTTGGGGAAAACTAAAATCAAAAAGCGATCATTTACAGAGATGCTTTAATCGGAACCAACAGGTTCCTGATAAAATGTAGTCTTATATAAATGTAATCAAAATCATTTTCAGCATCTCTCTCTAAAGTGCACAAAAAAAACGAAGTCACAGAAATAAAATAAGGTGAAAGTTGCTCACGAGAAGAAGAATCTAACAAGATATAAAACAAACTATTTTACATTTGGACAAATGTTTCACCAAATACAAGATGGTGAACAAAATGCATTATTTTAAGGTTCCCTCTCTTTCTTTCTGTTCCTCCAGTCAGCTGCTTTAGTACTTTGGCACTTTGGTGTAGTCCTCTGTGTGAATGTTCCTGCACAGGCAGATGGACAAGATCATCCCCACCAGCTGTCAAACAAAAACATAGATCAATACTTCATTAAAACCTTTTTCATCTTTAAGACATGTTTTATCTATGAGTGCACATCTTTAAATATTGTATGTCTACGAAACTTTTTCTATCTCTAAAACATAAAATATAAATAATGTTTATCTTTAAAAACACGTACTTGTTTGTAACGGCTCTTTTTGATTGAAAGTAAGCCGCAGCCTCACTATGAATATGCTGTTTGTCACTGTTTGTACTGTGACATGATGTATGGGGGCTTTTACTATGTGGTCACTACATTAAAGTACTTAATAGACAGCGTTGTTTTTGAATTCATGAAAAAAGAAACATATCTGCAATCACATCACTGTGTGGTTGTTCCGTTTTGTCTTGGTTGATTGTTTTATCCGCCAGTTGTACTGAGAGCTTTCATATCAGCCTAAAGACTTTGCGCCCCTAGTGTAACTTTATAGAAAGACCATGACAATGTATCAATGACAATGTACCTCAATCAGAGCCACTCCAAGGCAGATACCCAGAACGACCCCGAGGTTGGTGAGCAGCCAGCTCTCCACGCTGGCAGCACAACCCTGGAGGTGAGTAATCAGAAGACCGAAGAATGAATACACGAAGAACACAATCATGTAACAGGAAACAGGAAACTAATGTAACCTTTAGAAAAAAACAGTGTTTACCGTGTCGTATACGGGCCAGTCGGGCGTCTGAGCCTCACAGAAGCTGCTGTCGGAAAAGTTCCCGGTGGAGGCCGAGATGTTCTGGCAGGAACAGGGAAATAGCAGCTGGGAGCTGTTGGCGATCACCTCGTTCTCGCTCCAGTCCAGACGGCTGCTCCAGCCACAGCACTCCATCTACACACACAGAAATACACTTATAAGGTGTCCTTACTCAACAAACTTGACCTATAGGTCGTCATTGAATGCAGCTCATTACGACCTCTAGTGGCTGAAGTAGTTATGACTGGAGCAAAGGAGGAAGTCATTTGTCGTCGTATAAAGACAGTCAACGAATACGGAAGATGACAAGGTTCAGGGTTTGGTCTGACAAACCCAAGACTTTCATCCAGGAAATGTGTTCCTTGAGAAACTAAAAGTACACACATTAGGTTGTTTTACGTAAGTTACAATGTTAGTTGTACCATGTCACATACGTCACAGTTATATAGGCAACACACTTTCTTATTTTCAACCCAAACAACAATATTTTTCTAAAACTAACCAAGCAGTTTTGTTGTTTAAACTTATCAAAGTTGTGTTGTTTTACTATGTCAACTAGAATGCTCATATATGTTGTTTTGATCATACCTTTACTTGGGTCTGTACCTTTAATGCCATTTCTACTCAGCTTTAGTTACTTTATTTAGAAATTAGGTTTTTGCACACCTTCTGTGTCATACAAGACAATTCAGCCAACAAGCCACAAGTCAATTATTACCGGTATTACAGCCCCTTAATGACTTGAAGGTTTATAGTTTTTTAATTGATAAATTAAATTAAGTGAAGGAAAATATGTTTCAATGATAATATTTAAAAATAAATGAACTTATCCTTGAAGTGGCCTTATTCAGAGGTCACCTGAATCCTGCAGTTTTGTGGTCAGTAGTAAAAGATAATGAGAGTTAATGGGTTTTGCTGTTCAAATGCGTTTTTTCCCTTTTTTGCTACAGTATGTGTGTGGCACTTAAAGGTGGGGTAGGTAAGTTTGAGAAACCGGCTCGAGATACACTTTTTGTTATATTCCATGGAATGCTCTTAACATCCAGATAGCAATGAATATCTGAAGTGCTTTGACAAATAATCCATAAAGAAATGTCATCTGTGGAAGCCGTAGTACTGTAAAAAGCACGACCAATCATTTTAGCCGGCCCGGCTAAAGTAACTGGATGGCCTACCTGCCTGTCAGCCTTCCATCTGTGCACAAACTTATCTCGTGCCCTCATTGGTCATGTGCGCGTTCGTGTGTGTTGGAGGAGGGGCTCTCTCTGTAAGGCAGTGGCAGATTTTCTCCGGTCGTGTATTTTCAAATTCTAGCGATCTCGAGCCGGTTTCTCAAACTTACATACCCTACCTTTAAGGGAACATTTTGATATTCTTTTTTTATTATTATTCATTTTCATCCATGAATCTATTGTAAGTTGAGGCCTGTGTATCCAGATATATCTTTGAATAACAGGAACACTCAGGGGCAGCGGGTACTGTAGGCTAGGGAAGGCTAAGCCTTCCCAAATGTCACTGCATCCTGGTAAAATAAAAATATAATGTATAATGTTTGTGTCTTTGACATTAGCGCTGCTACGCAACCACCTGTGCCCTGTACTACGAAGCCAGTTCAACAGACCCTGGATATGTTTGAGTTATCTTAACTAACCCTAACAAACGCGCTCTCGCTAAGCGGTCCTACGACGCTGGTTATCAACTCGGTAAATCAAGCCAGGGTTTCTCTCTCCAGCTGAAAGCGTTCACGTGAAAGGGGCGGGGCTAGCAACATTTGATCACAAATAGGGACAGCGCAGCGTCATACTTCATTAATGAAAAGTAAACTAATATTAGACAAATATGAACTTTGAACATCCATGATTTAAACATATAATCCAGGATACAAGCCACAGAGTTGAACCTGCAAGGTGAATAGAGAACAACTGGTTAAAAAATAACTACCGAGTGTTTTAAAGCGTACAAAACAGGTTTATGATATCACTGCCCCATCTAAGACACGAGTGGATCTGACTTTAATTACATTTGAGTTGAGTGTTTCGTAACACTTAAGTAACAACACAAGTAAGTCACATTAAGTAACTTAATGTGTTTCTTAAAATAATACTTCTGCATACAGTATGTGACCATGTAGGTGATGCACGGCCAGATACGGCTCGAGAAGCTGACTCAGATAAGGAAATGTGATATATTATGATATTATATGAATGATAAAGTGCGACACGTCGGCGTCTTCTCTGCATACGGCAGTTTAAACTGTATTTCCTTTCTCCTGTAATATGACTTGATAGATTTAAACTCTGCACACTGAGCTCTGATTGGTCAGCAGGTGGTGCTTTCACTGAGTTGATCTCTTTTCTATAGACGCCGGAGGCGGGCAGCGTCAGGTAAAAAAAGTTATTTAGCCTTCCCAAACCTGAGCCGCCTATGGGAACACTTCTTTCTGTACTTTAGTTTATATTACTCTGTCATGATATAAAATCCTTTTGACAAAAAGAGATAGGATTATAGGACAAAAAGAGCATCTTGAATCGAAGCCTGGATCAGTTTTTCCAACTCACATTCCTCTGGATGAAGTCCCAGGCCTGCTCCGTGGTCGAGTTTTTGCCAGAGTAGTCCTTCAGCACCTGGACCACGACCGTTGACATCTTTTCATTTAACTGAAACGAAACAATTATGTTCATAAAATAAATGTATTTTGATGCAAAGTATAGATTCAGCAATGTGAAGAGGCAAAAATCAGCTTGAGCTTGCTTGATCTGAAGCTAAATACTTTGCTATTCACCGTTTAAAGTTTGTTTCATTATATATTTCTGTCTTGTTTTTTCCCCCTAGTTATTTGGACTGTTCGATAGTGATGCTTGTTTTATGATAGAATAAAATAAAACTATTTATCCTGTAGCTGCAGATCATGAATGTTCTGAATAAAGATCTTCAGAAAAAAGTGAAACTTCTGGAGTTCCCTGGTAAGTCCAACGTCACTATAAAATGCATATTATAGCATAAAAGAGGGGTGAAGACTTGCAAAATGTGTGATTAGAATATAAATAAATGTTGAGTTAAAGTAAATAAATACATTGTTCCCACTGTAAACATACTGAGAGCAAGACATAAGATGGATTCAACTCTCATGTCTTTCTGTTAAATATGGAGCTACATCTTGCGGCAAGCTAGTTTACAGTACATAGCCAAACAGTTAACATGGCTGTCTCCAAAGGTAACAAAACCTGCTTTCAAGCACCTTTAAAGCTCAGAAGCTAACATGTTATAAGATAAGATAAGATGGACCTTTATTAATCCCCGTGGGGAAATTCAGTTGTACAAGCAGCAACAGGGTAAGCGTGAAAAACAGGACAGCACAGATTCACACAGATTAATCTAATCAGAAATCAAATCAAGAAAATGTTTTCAATAATAATGATAATAATAATAAAAGACTATGAAATAGGAGATGAGTAAAAATAAGAGTAAAATAACTGTCAGCATATATACATAGTTGGTCATCTAAATTATGAAGTACGAAATGAGTTAAAGTGAAAAGTTAAAATGGACATCTGTACATATAGTGACATATCTACATATTTGATCTACTACTAATATATTAACATGGGTTGTGGAAACAGTCCAGTGATTTTATTTAATTTATATCTTGTTTGTTTAATCTGTGTGTAAAACAACTTATTTGAAAGAGCCAAGCTTTTACTGTAGAAAACATAAGTGGTATCGATCTCCCACTCAAGAGTTAGACATTAAGATATCACTTTCATGTCTTCCTGTTAAATATGAAGCTACATCTTGCAGCTAGCTAGCTTAGCTTAGCATAACCAGCACTGGCTGTAGCTTCATATTTAACGTATAAACATGAGTGCTATCAACTTTCTTGTCTAATTCTCAAAAATAAAAAAATAATCAATAGTTCTTAGTTACTGTCTTTTAGGTTTAAGTCATTTTAACAAAAACAGCAGCATTACTTAACAAAGAGGGAATTTTATGGGTGTTTAACAATACTAAAATGGCTTATAGATCAGATTCTTGTTTGACTTGTGTTTCTCAACAATCCGATTTTATTTGCATGTCTTGATTTTTTAACTCAAACATAAGCTTTGAATTCTTGCGGTAAAGATTTTTGACATCCAGATCTGTGAAATCTGAATCTTTAGGATATACAGAAACATTTCAATCAGAAGCCAAATACAGCAGCACCTTTAAATGTATCACATTATCCAAATTGCTGCACACCAGACACAGAAAATCTGAGAGTAATTGTTGATTAAATCTCTAATCCAAGAATGTTGAGACACTCAAGGTCTCCAGTGAACACATGCTGAAAAAGCAGATACTCTTTTTTTTTTTCAAGTGGAGGTTTTGCCTGGGATTCTTTTTGGCAGAAAAAGCAAAGTAGCTGAAAAACGCTTCCAACAAACTTTCAGATACAATAAACAGAGATCTGCCTGCACTCCCAAGAACCAAATTCCTCCTTTTTGTAGCATTTTTATTGGATTCAGATGATTTATGCCTCTGGAAATTTGTATCAGCAAGCTTCTGAGATTTTCTTGCAGCTTTCGAATCATAAATGTGCACATAATTATTTTAGGTGTGGGCGAGAAACTATAAAGACCCTGCCCAGCTGGCGTAAGTCGAACAGTTTGAATCATATTCACAAAAAAACGTTCATAGAGCCTTCTCAATCACAATATGCACCAGGCACAGTTGGGAGTAAAAAAACAACAACTACGAGAATGAATGAAGACTTAAATTAAAATGTACACAGCACAGCTGCCATATGATGAGGATATTCGTCACCGGAAGAGCTTAAAATTAAGATTGGTATTTGATGTGAAGTTACAAAAACATTATTTTACATTTTAAGCACTTGTTAAAGCTATTAGATAGATCTGAGTTTCACGATTCTTTCACACACAGTGACGTCACAGCTACCCACAATGCAACGCGCGCCATATATATTTTTATAAAGACGCCATTTTTCTGGAGGTGCAAAAATCCTGGGAATGCTAATATAAACAGCTAGCTTATGTAGCCAGGCAGAGCGCACTAGGTTTTTTTTCTGAATTAACGACCGAAGAAATCGCTGCATGTCTTCGGATTACATCTCTGGACTTGAGAGGTGTGCTCTAGGTCGTTACCAGCGTAAACTAGAGCTGTGTGGGTTGTTGGATGTACAATGTATGGAATTACGACCCTCAAACGTGGCCTTCGGTCGATTTTGGCTGCATCTACGTCTATCTTCTGGAAACACCAGGTGAATACCCCACTTGTCACAATCATATTATCATGCCAATGCATATATGTGGTATTTTAGAGTTGACTATATTGATTAAGGCAATCGACTATGATATTCTGTATGCACCTCGCGTGAAATGGTTGATACCGGAAGTACGGTGTCGCCCTCGGCCCAAAACCCGTATGTGTGTGTGAAAGAATTGTAATTACAACCTGGATGTTGACATAAACGGTACTTATGAGTTGAAACTGGTAATTTGTATGATATGAGCCCAGCATAAAGTCTTGTCTCAGGGAAACACAGATGTTTTGCGTTAGAGTTAATTACTGTCCATTTAAACATCCAAGTCTGAAGTAGTGAGCAGAGAAAAAGTGTGCACAAAATCCTCTTGCTATTACAGTGCTGCTCTATACAATGAATGTAGTAAACTATTTACAAAGGACCACAGGTTAAACATTATGTCATGGCCCAGGCCCACCGTGTCAGTAATGGCGCGTTTCCACTGCAGCGGGTAGCTCGCTTTAAGCATGCCGAGCCGTGCGGGGCCCGTTTTTGGTTGCGTTTCCACTTGGCCTAGTTTTGGCCCGAACCTACATTTTCACCTTTTTGCTGGCTCGACTAAATCGTGGTTCTAGGGCCAGGAACGGCCAGGAACAACCAGGCTGAGTCGGGCTGAGTATGCTAAACTAGAGAGAATCGCTGGCAAGGCGGCTACAACTACAACAAGATGAACATATTTGATCGTGATTTAATTGTAATACACGTTTCAAAATGATGCCGAAGTAACAACATACTGATACCGGTTAGTAAAAACCATGAATTAATGCTTTGACAAGTCTCCAGACAGACGGCAGGCGAAAAACCCTTTTAAAATGCGTGTTTTCTAAATGTAGCTTGGCTAAGCTAACGTTATATATGCTCCGACCGTCCACACTCACAACAACGGCCTACAGACATAAATAAACCAGCGACTGTATTCCCCATGACACAGGCAGTCTGTGGTTTGTACTTGTTTAACTTTTGTCTAGTTTCTGAACAGATATGAGGAGCTGTGAGCTCTGAGTGCTAAGAGCTAACGGCTGTGTTGTTTTTCTGGGGCTCTCATTGAAGATGACTTCACGGCTCCGCCTACACGGCGTTACTATAGTAACTGCCCCAGTTCCTAAACTGTAATGGAAGCGCAGCATTAGACTCGAACACGAACAGATTATCTCTGTCAGTCATATTTACAACTAGTTCTTGAGTGTTGATTTAGCTACAAGTTTATCTGGGTAAGTTTCTGCCTAAGAGGGAAGAGTTGACTAAATAGTCACACACGTTATCTATTGGTTATGAGAGAAGATGAAGGCCATCAGAAATACTCCTCACTCTACCACATTGGAAGCTAAAGCAGGGCTGAAATGCATTACTCTGCTTCTACATGCATTGGTTATAAAGCATTTGTTAACTTTTTAGTGTTTGTTTTTTTTAACTTTTTCTCATGTATTCTTGTTTTTGAAGCTGTTGTTTCAGTGCCTTCACAAATCTGACTGATTAGTTGGATTGTGTTTCTGCAAAGATATATCATATTCAAGACCCTTAAAATGTATTCTGATAAGATGTTTACAGACAAATTAAAGTCATCCATGATAAATCATGAGTTCTCTTTTCATGAAAATATATCTTTATTCTAAAACTGCCCTGGTTATTGTTGATAAAAGATCAAGTGCAGTACGTCCCAAACTGAAGCCAACAGAACTCTTTAAGAGGCAGATAAATGTTGTTTGGCCTGGAAAAATTATCTCTGCAGATAAACATGTTATGAACTGTTTCTTCTTTGGACATCATCCAACTGGGTCAAATGTGATCGAGAACTCATCAGCAAACATATAAAAGGTTTTACTTAGAAATGATTATCGTATTAAGTTACAAAAGCAAAAATAATGAGGCCACCACACGTAAAACGCATTTAAATTCAAAAGTTACATTAATCCATTCTCTGCTCTTTCTGTTCATCTGTACAATTTCTCAGATTAAAACACCAGAGGGCGACGTAACACAAAGGCATCAGTTTCAATTCAAGTTGTCTGGTGTCCCATGACCACAGCTGAATATTTGTGGGAGGTGTATAATACATTTCTAATCACAGCAGGTGTTGTTTTTAAGTGACACGCATAGTTCTGCTTGTTATGACACATCGTGACACATAATAAGAAGATGAAGGTGTGTTATCTCTGCTCTGCAGAGAAGGTGATCGGCTGCAATCTGCCATCCCTCCACGCCTCCAGAACCCTGAGGCGGGCAGGGAAGATAGTGGCCGACCCCTCCCACCCTGGACACAAACTGTTCACCCCCCTCCCCTCTGGCAGGAGGCTGCGCTCCATCAGGACCAAAACCTCTCGCCACTTGAACAGTTTCTTCCCCTCTGCTACCGGCCTCTTAAACAAGTCCCGGCCCCCCCCACTGAGACTTTACCTCAGCCACATCATAGACTCTATATGCATTACATTAATGCACACAATGCTCAAATACGGCTTACTGCACATATTCTTATTTCATACTCTATATTCTATCATTCACTACACTCTATTTCACTGTAAATTACTGCTTTATTTTATTGCCATTTAACTATATTTTATTACAGTGTCCTTAAAGGCTTTTTGTTTTATATTTTATGTATGCACCATGACATCAAGTCAAATTCCTCGTATGTGTGAACCTACCTGGCAATAAACCCGTTTCTGATTCTGATAAGTGTGCAGCAACCCTTCTCATTCCACTAGTCGGAATCACCTCAACTAACAAAAACAAGGGGGAAACTCCCATGAAGCTGTCAGAGTGGTGCAGGAATGAGTCCTAAAAAACTAGACAACTAGAAATGATTTGGCATTTTACCATTTCCTGTTCGCACGCCTCTTAACTTTTTTGTTTGAGGTAGCTATATACCCAAAATAAGGTCTGTGGTTTACTAATCTTAACCGATTTTCACGTTATGTTATACAACATAAAGTATGTCAGTAAATACCCGACTTGTGAATGTGCAAAACTTTAAGACTAAACGAGATTACTAAACGTCACGTCAAACATTTGCCACCTTTAGCTTAGCAGTGGTGACATGAAGGCATGCAACAGTTACGTTAGATTTTTACTTCTGCTGATTGCATTTACAGAAATCACAAAGCGTTTAAGTATCATAGACGTGTGTTTGCCACTGAGCCAGAGTCCTGCATCGGGTCGGGTACCCGCGGGTGTTGCATAATAAATATATTAAAATAAGAACAATTTAAATCCTCAGACCTCTCCCCTGCAGGACCACCCATAATCATAACCTCTGCACCGCATCCATCTGCTGCTGAGCGCGCCACATTCTAAACGGCTGAGGTGAAGGCGAAGCTCTCTTAAGAAGAATACAGCTTTGTCAATAACTCTTCCTCAAGAGCGAAATCCAACGACTGGGAGGCTTTTGGTGTCATCCTAGATAGAGAAAACAACCAGGTCGTATAATAAAATTATTAACATCCCACGCTTTTTGAGCCAAATAAGCAACTGCGTGTGTTAATAATTGCATGTCTTCACTGCTCATAGGATATGCGGGTCGGGTCGGTTTGGTTTGCGGAACTAATTGGCAATATGTGCGGGTAGCGGGCAGGTTCAGTATTGCACGCTGTGGGTGCGGGAGCGGGTCTTGAAAATCAGACCCGTGAAGGACTCTGCACTGAGCTAATTCTCTGTAAAATTCCAAAATCCATTTGAAAAATGCAATTGCTATTTTGGCGTGGTAGCACTTGGGATGCTAACTTCAGGGTTGGCCTTCAAAAATACGTCATCACTGCACCACTCAATGAAATCTAGGACAGAGGAAGAGGAAGTGACATCACTCACCGTCTCCTTCTGGAAGTAGATGAGGGCGCCGGCTGCTACCTGAGCGATGACGATCAGCAGGAGGCAGGTGAAGTACTGCGGAGAGACAGCACATGGTAAACTCATGTGAAACATCTGAGTGGTAAAACATGTTGGCGCAGCAGGAGCCCCGTAAAACCTTTAAAAAAAGAGATCTTACTGGCAACAAACCAACTATAAATGTACCAACTTGAAAGTGGTGTGTGTGTGTGCATGCATATTGAAGCCTGGCAACTCAGTAACTACATTTTGTAATAGTTGTATTCTTTGCTGTATACATGGTAAAGAGTTATGTACTCTATGAGCCTCCCGTTAGGATTAAGATTCTTTCTGGGGCTTTTATTTTGAAAGCCCGCTGGAATACTTGAAAACTCATGAAGTTAGGCAGAGAGCTGTTTTTGGTCCTTTAGGAGAAGTTAGTCCAACTACTTACACAATAAATCTTCTACTAGCACATCGCCTGTCTTACTCATCATCATGTTTAAATGATCAGAGCGTACATACATTCAGACATGTGTAGAAGTGTCACTCACCAGGCCGAGCAGACAGCGGATCTCGTAAATGGCCCCCAGGCAGCCGAGGAAGCCCATGAGCATGGAGAAGGCCCCGACGCCAATCAGAATGTAGCAGGCCGCCTTCACAGATGTGGAGTTACCTGTGTGGACAGAAGGTATATGTTATTGTTTGGGAACTGAAGGGTCGCCGGTTCAAGCCCCAATTGGATCAAGTACAGAGTTATTTTGGTAGGTGGAAAGGTGCCGGTTCACCTTCTGGTACCAGGTACCGAACCATTGGGCGACCCGTGGCTCTGTTTGTTCATGTGTACCTGTGTATATTTCAGGCCTATTTGTAACCTGATGTAAAACAAATGAGTAAAAAACTGAAATTAGAAGAAGAAGCAGAGTAGATTACTGCAACTGTAAGATGTTTCTCGACCAATAGGACTTTAACAATTTTCTTTTTTCAGTAGTTTCTGATACAACGACTATTAAATCATGAAAGCAATTGCCAGAATCTCATCAATGAACAGTAACAGTGAGTTGTAGCCCTAATACTGACAAGAGGAAAACTCTCAGTTGAGTGTGGACAAAAAGGAGTGTTTTCTGAAGAGTGTGCACTTCAGCATTGGCAAACAAAGGCATCTGTGTGCCACATCACTGTCTACACAACAGTCCCAAATAGAGGATCCAGAAGTGGGAATCATCTCGTTCATGTCATCGAGTTTGAGTCCAGACGTCTGCCAAGAGCTCAGTTCAGAACTAAAAACAGACTCCATGTCAACAACCTGGTACAAATTACATGCAACTTCAAAATGGGGATTGGCAAGCACCGTGATTATACAAAGTATGGCAAAAAGTGCTTTAAATATATACAGTTTGACAGCAAAATACTTATGAGGTTTGAATTAATGTCATCTCATTTGACGGTCTTTAAAATGAATTTTTCAATTATATAGAAGTCTACAACACAATCAGAAACATTGACTAGATGTGACATCAACCCAATAGAGTGGTGCAGTGACGAGTCCTAAGACCCGGAAGTGAGTTAGCATTTCATCACTACCGGTTCCCTCGTCTCAGAGTCAATGGGATTTCTCCATAGGATTTTGGAAAATAGTTGGAAATAAGGTCTGTGGTTGACACATTTAAGAGACGGATCACGTTTTGTTCTACGACATTAAATACATCAGCAGCTGGTGATTTTTGAAGAGTTTACGTGTCTGAAAAACGATGGTTGTTAACAAGTGGCTGAATAGGACTACAGAAATTGTCGAGGACGTTGTACGTCATTACACCGAACACGTAAACACTCCCGCTAAGTTTGTTTGCCCTGTTCTGCTTGAAAGCAAGTACCTGCCTCCTGCAAACTGTTCAAACAAACACTTCAACTTGTACCATTTTGAATCTGTATTTTTTAATATGGATCTTAAGTCGGCGTGACGTTGAAGCAGCGACCCTGCTGTAGTTTGTTTATAGCATAACTTTAGCATTTTGCTTCTGGCGATTAGATTTATGATTCGAAAACTATAAAAGTAGGGTAGACATGTGGATATTATCCGGCTGAACAAAACGTGCATTGATCAAACAGGTTCATTTTCCACAGACCTTATTTCGAGCTATTTTCCAAAATCCTACGGAGAAATCCCATTGCTTTTTTGTTGAGGGAACCCGAGCGCAGCTTATTTCCGGGTAAATACGTCATCCCTGCGCCACTCTATTAGCTATAAAACAAGATCAGCGGCTGTGTCATGTTTGACAACATGATTTCGACCCAATACACAAGTCTCTGAGATCTACAAACTTGCAGAAATGAACCAGACGAGCACTTCCATACAGCAACATGTGTGATGATGAAAAACAAAGGAAATTAGAAAAGTGTTCGTCTGCAGCGCTCCATTTATAGCAAGTTACCAGGGACCAAAGAAACACAGGGAGCTCAAATAAGAATTCAGCTACACTCCAAACCCTGGGTCGCAATTTGATGAGCACCCTTTATTGATGAATCATGACTCATCAAAAACAGAGCCAGTTTCAAATGATTCATGACAGAAATACAGAATCTGCTACTGCAGTGGAGAACGTATTGTCACTCAAAAAAGGTTGTGAACAAGAAGCGTGTAGAAGTCTGCCAATGAGCCGTTTTAAAGACAAGCCCCCCCTCCTCCTTACTGGGTCCTTGTGGCCTCAAGCCATCATGAGATACCCCCGGGGGATCAGTGAACCAGGGCATGCTGCTCCAACGCAAGCCACCGAGAAAAGAGGGAAGTTTATGATGGAAAATTAGGCTACAGGGAGAGGGCAGTCAATTAAACCTGTGTGTGTTATATGCTCTTACAGACAGGTTCATGTGTTTAGGGTCCCTGTGAATAGACTACCTGTGCAGTTCTATAGCCTACAAAATGCTGAGTCAACATTTACAAATACTCATGTTGTTGTCGTTTTCAGTGAATTCTTACCAAACTGAAGCAGTCCCTTTTAAGATTTCCTGCCTAAAATGACGCTTAATTAAGAAGCCCATTCTTTCTGAAAGACTGTTTAAACAATTCAATATAAAATAAATATTTTATATTTGTCACAGTATATCAAACAAAATTTCCTGGAGTACTGTACTTAAATATTATATTTTACTTGATTATTTCCATGTTCTGCTACTTTATACTTCGAATCTACTATATTTTAAATAAATTAAAAAACTACTATGGTTTTTGGAGTTTTCCCTTTCCTCTAGTGTGTTATATAGGTTTTTGTGCATGTAACGCAGTTGACCAATCAGAGCAGACTGGGCTCTGGTTTCAGACAGAGGGTGAAAAGAGGTGTTGCAACACAGGCAGTATGAGAAAAATAAAGAGCTTTTTGAACATTGATGTAAACATGTCACAGTCAAGGCACAACATACAAATATGAACCTGAAAATGAGCATAAAACGTCCTCTTACTTAATGTTTTAATGAAATCCTCAAGTAAAAAGTATAATAATATATAATATTGATTCCCTCTGAAATGTAGTGGATTAGAAGTACAAAGCGATACAAAATCGAAACACTCTTAAGTTACTACTTAACTTAATACTTGATTACATTTCAACCAATAATGGAATGGCTTCAGTCACAAGTGTTCCTCAAGGTCTCACTGCTCCACATGAAGTAATGTTTACAACCTGTTCTATCCCATCAAACTGGATGATTTCAAACGTGTTGAGGCAGGAATGATGTGTGGTTGTGACTAGTGTTGCACGGTGTACCGATACTTGAAAGGTACCGCGATACCCTGCAGTTACAAACGGTACGATTCCTCCGTTTCATTAGTATCGGTACTTTAAGAATGACGGGGAAAAGTACTCCGGTGAGAAAGCGCCGTTTTAATAAAGACCCGTGTGTGTTCAGCGCTCTGCTTCCACTCCCTGCACTGCAGCCGTGCCTGCAGTCCCGCCCCTCTCAAGCACGTTCTAAGTCCCTCCCCTCTCTCGTGCACGCGGCCACGCGCTAGCTGCCAGAGCATGTGAGAAAACGAGAAGCATGGCTGCAAGTGGGAGTGCAGCTGCCGCTGCGCCTTGGCTTGTTGACAAGAAAGACGCCAGAAGCGAAATTTGGAAGTATTTGAGCTATATCTCTGACAGTGAGGGCAAGCCTACGGACACCACGAGGCCTGTCTGTAACGGAGCGTCCACACAGCAGCGTGCGTTGACGCTTGGAGGTGGGCGTATCTGAAGCTTGGGGATTTTTTGCGAGCAACACGACCAACAACCAATCACATGAATCTCCCGCCCGACATACAAAGCAATAGCAATGTTAAAACGAAGTAAACTGGATATAAAATCCCCAAACAGGCGAAAACCTACCAGTTTCACCCACTGTCTCTGCCACCTCCCTCCATGCCTCGCTCCTCCGGTTTGTATCCCGGTAGATGAACAGAGACTGATCATACAGCACCGGGTGATTCTCTACCGCTATAATGAATTTTCCCTCAATTTTTTTGAATATGAGGAAATGACCTGCGTAGTCTCTCCCAGCATACACGCGGTTTGATTGGCTAGTGCTTGTACTGGCAGATTTGAATAAACGGGATTTCATTGGCTGACGCCTCCGTCGAGGCGTCAAAAGTTGAACATTGCTCAACTTTTGACGCCAGCTACGCCAGCAACGCTCCACGTCGCTTCCCAAAATGCAGTTCGGCTAAAAGTGACGTCACCCCATTCAAAGTGAATGGGCAGAAGCGTTGGAAGCTTCAACGCACGCCACTGTGTGGACGGGCCGTAAGACATGTTTTAGATCCCTGCAAACCAAGGGAGCCAACACATCAAACTTGGCTAAGCACCTCGCCAACCGGCATCCAGACAGGTTAGCGAATGTGATAGATAACATAATTACATCATGCTCAAGCCCATGCCCTCAAATCTAAGTCAAACCAGTGTAATTTATTTTGTGACAAACGAGGCAATTAATGGCAATGATAACTGTCTAATATGGCTATCTTTTTAGCTAACTTACCAATGTGGCTAACATCTGCAATATATATTTTGTTAATAATTATTTATATTACTGTACTATTACATGTTAATAAAATATTAAAACAATTATATTTTATAAAATAAAAAAGTTGTTTGAGATGATGCTGAATTTTATTTAATACGAATTCTTATCATTTATTTTGTTTATTGTTCTCATTGTTTAAAAGTTTGTGTTATGGTTATGGTTCTGGTGTGAAATAAAGCACAATAACTCGCTCGGATCTGTCATTAGCCCGCATGGTTTTTCTTACCACTGCTACGCTGATGACACCCAATTAATTCTGTCCTTTCCCCGCTCAGAGACCCAGGTCGTCGCACGCATCTCTGCTTGTCTAGCTGACATCTCTCAGTGGATGTCTGCTCATCACCTCAAGCTCAACCTTGACAAAACTGAGCTGCTTTTCCTTCCGGGAAAAGATTGTCCCACTCTTGACCTAACAATCAACATCGGCACCTCAGTTGTTTCCCCGACTCAGACTGCAAGGAATCTGGGTGTGACCCTAGATAACAACCTGTCCTTCACTGCAAACATCGCTGCTACAACCCGCTGCTGCAGATACACGCTTTACAACATCAGGAAGATACGTCCCCAGCTGACTCAGAAAGCGACTCAGGTTCTGGTCCAGGCTCTCGTCATCTCACGCCTAGACTACTGCAACTCCCTCCTGGCTGGTCTACCTGCATGTGCCATCCGACCTCTGCAGCTCATCCAGAATGCAGCGGCTCGTCTGGTCTTCAACCTTCCTAAATGTTCCCACACCACTCCGCTCCTCCGCTCCCTTCACTGGCTTCCGGTAACTGCTAGAATCCACTTCAAGACACTGGTACTTGCTTACCATGCTGCGAATGGATCTGGCCCTTCCTACATCCAGGACATGGTTAAACCGTACACCCGAGCGCGTGCACTACGCTCTGCATCAGCCAAACGACTCGTTGCGCCCTCGCTGCGAGGGGGACCCAAGTTCCCATCGGCGAAAACACGTGGGTTTGCTGTCCTGGCTCCAAGATGGTGGAATGAGCTCCCCATTGACATCAAGACGGCAGATAGCTTGCACATCTTCCGGCGCAAACTGAAAACTCATCTCTTTCGACTCCACTTCGAGCGATAGAACTATTAACGAAGCACTTATATACTAATAAAGGACTGGCTTATCTAAAGCCAGTTGAGTAGCACTTGAAATGTTTTGGCTCTATGAAACCTGATGTACTTATATGATTCTGTTTTCTTCAAGGTTGTGTCTTCCTGGTCGAATGTACTTATTGTAAGTCGCTTTGGATAAAAGCGTCAGCTAAATGCAATAATTACATTTAAGACTGTTTCCCTTTTTTTAAGAAAAGAATCGCAAAATAATCGGAATCGCAATTCTTGACTTGGTATCGGTATCGAAACCAAAATGTTGGTATCGTGACAACACTAGTTGTGACTCAGCGCTGTCTTTGTACGATCAGCTGGTTCCAGCAGCACCAGGCTGAGCATTGATTCACTTGTGATGAGCAGTGACGCCGCTTTCATCGAGCATCAATACTCCTCGTTTATGTGTGAACACAAAGCTAAACTGTGCACTGTACTTGAACCATGTGCTCTGATGGTTAGCGTCGTATGACCACAACCCCAGCCCCGAGAAAATGCCTGGTGTGTGTGTGTGTGTGTGTGTGTGTGTGTGTGTGTGTGTGTGTGTGTGTGTGTGTGGTGTGTGTGTGTGTGTGTGTGTGTGTGTGTGTGTGTGTGTGTGTGTGTGTGTGTGTGAGATGAGTAAGGCGGTGAGCGCACTGGGCTGATGTGATGCATGCTGATGCTGGAGCAGAAAGAGCCCAGTGTCTGAGGGGACGACACCTGCAGAGAGCCCACGAGGACGGGAGACAAATGTCCTCAGTGGCGCTGGCTTGTTCTGAAAGCGCACGCACACACACTACACACACAGTCCTCTCTGACAATTGCTCAATGTCTGTCTCTATATTTCTGCATCGACACTTCTTCAGTGGTGTCTGAGACTTTGTCTCGCTCACACTGGTCGTTTCTTTCTCACTGTTACTGTTTGCAGAGTTTAGAATTAACGGAATAGTTCAACATTTTTTGGAGTTAAGGACACAGAGTCAGTGTACAATGGTTTTAGTTTGTTAAATGTAACCATATACATTTACTCAAGTACTGTACTAAAGTATAATTTTGACATTTGTACTTATTTGTATTTCCATTCTATGCAAGTTGATATTGATATTTGTCCTCTTGATTCACTATAGTCATCTTAAAGTTTTAGTTACTTAAAAAAAAGTTTGATTTTTACACACAAAAAAATATGAAGTTTATAAAACAGTACAAAGTGTTATTTGATAATGGTTTAGTAATTTTTCCAACAGAAAACACTGTATTGATAAAGCTTCTCAAATTTGCTGATTTTCTTAATAGTCAAAACCGTTGCAGTGCATTAGTATTAATGTTGGGTAATTCCTGTGGCTTTTTTAGAAAATAAAAAAATCAATCAGAAAACTAATCCATATTGAAAAAAAGTAGGTAACATTTGTATAAGCCTCTTCTTAATGAACTACAACAGTTCAATCCTTTCATATGAATCAATGAGTAATAATAATCCTAGGATATAATAAACAATGATATACTTGCTATGTACATTTTCAAGTTATACTGAATTGCTCCTGAATTCAGGTAACCCCTTTTTATCACTTATCTCAGAAAACATGACTTCCTATGTAATTGTATATGTACTTACATATTTTCAAAAACAAACAATCTAGTGATTAATGGAGAAATATTCATTAATTAATAGTAAAAGGGAGGAACACTGGGATTTAAGCCTTTGCAGACCATTTACATTCACAAAAACCTAGATAACACAATACAGGAAAGGGAAAACCCGAAAAAGCATAATAGGCACCCTTTAAGTACTTTAAATTAAGTAAAGAATCTAAATACACAAACCCGTCTAAAGCTCACTATATTATTTTTATCAAGCAAATGAATAAGTGTGTTCCCTAAATGTCAAATGAGCTCTTTATGTCAGATGTCTTTGAACACTCAGTAACAGGAGAGTAATTGAAGCCACGAGAAGAGGATACGGAGGAGGACCAAGACAGAGGGAAAGATTTGTGGCTTGAAGGAATTTCTTTTTTTGAACACAGTCCAGAGAAGCAGACAGACAAACGTGGAGGAAATCTGCTGGACACTTGTTTTTAACTCAGCAGCCTCAACATACCAGTGAACACACAGAGACCCCAACTTTATGGGGACACCTAAACATGTTGGCCTCTTTGGAGACCAAGTCAGAAGGGATAACTGCATTAAAAACAGCAATATAGATCGATGCATAGGCTGGACACATTAACACTGACAGTGGAAGAGGAGTTGTTTTAGTTAGCCTCCAACAGATGGATGTTGTCTGGGTGGAAAGTTATCCAGTCTAAAAGCGACACAAACGTATCGCTTCTGTCGAAGTGCTGTGTGGAGGACTGTTAGAAAAGGGAAACATCTAAATTGTCTTTTAAAGAGTCCTGAAACTTTTATAAATATCCATCATTCTGACAATTCTTATTGTGTAGTAATTCTATAAGATGATACATCTTTAATAAGAAGTTATTACGATATTAAATATTACACAACTGGAAACATGTTCAAATATGACCCTGTGTCTTTAAATCCCAAATCATCCAAATGATATGATACCAGATTTAGATAAAAATTCATGGTGAAGCCTTTTATGATTTTTACTTTCCGTTTTCCGTCCTAGGTCTCAGATTGTTGTTGGAGTTGTTGTATACAATTTTACTTGTACATGTTACAACTTTATTTCAAAACAACTTTATTTCAAAGCACAACTTTCAAAACTGTTTGAGAATTAAGTTTCCAAAAATGACTGCTTCTAAAGGATCCGTCTGACATAAATCTAGGCAAAGGCTTTTCCAAATCCTTTGTATACATTACAGCGCTGTACACAGGTTATAGTACTGTGCAGTATTAAAGGTTTGTCTAGACGTCATAGTTCAACAGTTCACACTAATAACAGGTGAAGTTTTCAACAACTCCCGCCTGTTTCCCTTCCGTCTCTCACTCTCACAATTATAGGGCCTGATTTGCCCTTTTAAGAGAGTGACAGTTGAAAGGGGTAGATAGAGGGGAAGACACGTGTAAAAGTCACCGCTGGTTGGATTAAAACCTGCTATTGCCTCAGCTGATACTGAGCAGCCAGCTCTAACCGCTGAGACATAATTGATCCTATCCCAACTCCAGACAAAAGCGATAACTTGAACAAACGTGCAAATAAAAAGTCACGTCACACAAAGTAAACGTGGTAGATCATCATCAGGAGAATGAAGGAGGAACTCACTCAGGACGACGATGAAGCTCTGATTGTCCAGCAGGAGCCACAGCCCGAAGCCCATGATGACGACCCCACACAGCTGGAGAACAAAAACACACACGTCAGCCATAAACAATGCTTCAGACATGCTGCAAACGAGCACATTTCAACAGTAACAGATTAAGTGCAATTCACAGTTTTTTATACTGGTGAGCTATATTTGTTCTGGTGTATCAGAGTTTCTTCATTCAGATTTTTGCAGGAATGCTGAACCATGATCACTGTATTTGTCACCTTCAAATGTTTTTCTCTTCATCTAACATCTCGCTGTGGCTACCTTGCTGCCAAACTAAAAGTTGATCTTCTGACCAAATAACACCAAATAAGTCAAAACCTTTTGGTGTAGATCTGTTTTTATTGAATAATATCAAAAGGGACATTAATCAACATTAACCATTAATACATGGTTCAAAATAAAAGCCTCCTGTTGGTTTGTCTTTCAGAGGCTTTTAAGAGATTAACTTTTTTTAAAGTACCAAGGGACAAGAAAAAACTAAGTTTACTCTGAATGGCAAAGTCAAACATATGGTACTTGTATATGATTTTAAAGGGGCTCTATTATGCTAATGTTCAGGTTCCCATTTGTATTTAGTGCCTCTACCGTGACATGTTTACATGCTTTAAATGTTCAAAAAGCTCTTTATTTTTCTCATACTGCAGCACCTATTTTCACCCTCTGTCTGAAACCAGAGCCCAGCTCTGTTGTGATTGGTCAACCGCTTAGAGAGGTGACTACCCCTTGGCCTTTCACCTAGAATATGTTGGAATGCTATTCAAGATCGAGGTCCTTTAGGTGCTTGCATTTTCTTTTATACAGTTAAGAAAAAAAGACCACTCAAAAATATGCAATATATCCATTTGCTGAATTAAAACAAAGAACATATTGAGATAATGACATCAGTATTAACTACAGCCATGTTCTGTACCTTCATGTGGTGTACTGGCAGGACATACTGCAAGTGAGTTTAAATATACATTATTGGGGGAAACCAAACAGTAATGTAACTTAATGACATCACGTTTCTCTAAGCAGGAACTGAATGTACTTTGCAGGAAAGCACAGCGGAGGGTAATGCTCTCAATACCGAGAAATACAAACGCACAGTGTTTATCTGTTGCTAAGAACCTCTAAACCTTAGATCGTAAGATTTCATTTCCACAGAAGGAGAGGAAACAAGAAAGTGAGTATTACCGTGGTTACTGCGGACACTGAAATTAATACTCAGAGTCAGAGAAAGAGAAAGAGTGGCTGATGTCTTTTCAAGCTGTTCAAAAACTCTTGTTGAGAACTGTAGCAAGCAACATGACTACATAATATACTTTTATACAATTGTTCCCAATAGTCCATTTGTATTTGTTTTCAGTCAGCTGCTCTGCCCTGCTCTTTTAACGCCAGTATTTTCATCAAATTCTACCCCAGATTGTGTTAGAGAGGACACTCTCTAACAAACTAATCATTTTCAGGTTCATATTTCTATCGTGTGCCTCTACTGTGGACATGTTTACAGGCTTCAATTTTTTTTCAAAGTGCTTTATTTTCCTCATGAAAAAATTGCTCCGATTGGTTAGCTGGCTGGCTCTGTTGTGATTTGTCAACTGCTTAGAGACGTCCGGCCCCTTAGCCAATCACATACAATGTGTTGGAGTGCTAGCCAATAGAAGCACGAATGATACCTAGGGCCTTTCTCATATCACTAATGACAATTGTTGTCCTCTTCTCTGTGAAAGCTTTTTTGGCTGTTCTTTTGCCATTTTGAGATTTAAATTTCCAGCGGAAAGCTAAACCGGGAAGAGGCGCACGACGTGATGCATCTGAATGAATCACGTTGTCAGAAATTGACACCAGCCAATGAGATTTCGTTTTTTGGTTTAAGACCCCTTAACGAAGTTAACGTGTTAGTGAATGGACTAGGTTGCAATGACACCACTTTACCAGTGTTGCAAAAGAATGGACAAAGGCATGCTAACTCAGCTAGTTAGCAGCTACAAGGATTCCAAGGAACAGGAGGGCTGTGTATTGGGTAATACATCTACAAGTGGTAGTCCTCCCTGGAACTCTCTGGGTGCAAAGCCTAAGAGTAAATAATTTCCATGGGATTTGAGAGGTCGAATAACAGGCAGAGCCCAGCGCTCTGAAATCTGTGATGCGACCGGCTGGCCTGCATTGTTAACACCCAAGAAGAGCGCCTCTTCAACCCCTATTCATACTAGGAAACAGCCGTGGACAGCTGCTAAAGGGAGAACTATAAACAATCCTCCTAAACCACCAAGTGTGCCAATCCAGAACAGCTACGCTCCGCTGACCGAGAACCGGAGATCTCTTTCTGATGACCTGGATAACGTCTTCAAACAGCAGGGTAAGGACTAATAGATACTCCAAAAGTAAAAGGCTAGAGGGAAAGCTAACGACTGGGCCTGAAACTCTGATTGTGGGTGACTGCTGTAAGAGATGTAAAAAGTCTGTGTAGTAAGAACAACACCAAAGTACTCTGTTTTCCCTACGGATATGGTCTCTGACTTGGCTGAGAAGATCCTGCATATTGGGGCTGAACATCCGACTGTGAAAAATGTGGTACTGCACATTCGAACAAATGATGTTGTGAAACAACAGTCAGAAGTGCTGAAAGAAGACTTTAAATGTCTGTTGTTCATCAGTGGCCTTCTACCGCCAGTCAGAAGAGGAGTGGAGAGATTCAACTGTCTGTACTGACCATTCTGTCCATTTTATTGACAATTTTAACTTTTTCTGGGACCGCAGACATCTTTTTAAGGCAGATGGAGTTTGCACAAGTCAGGAGTGAAATTGTTTATCTCTAACGTATTCAACTGCCTGCGTCATCAATCTGTTCCCTCTGCCAAGGACAAGCGGCAAGAGGAATCAAAACAGGAGAAAAACACAACACATCGCGCAGAAAACTTTGAAGAAGTATCACTGCACCCGCCTGAGGAATGTCTTGATTATGGGAAACATATGAGACAAATGGAGGAGTCTCCACTGCCCTTCACCCCCCCTATCACCTTTGAGGATACTCTTCCTTCACCCCCCAGCTGTCTCTACTCTTTACCCTTTCACCCTCACCCACCCTCCTGGAGTTCGACCACATGAAGGAGATACAGAGGGTTGGCACCAAGTCCTTCCTGGAGATCAATGACCGCATGAAGGCGATACGCAGGGTTGGCAGCATGTCCTTTACCCCCGCCCAGGGGCGCCGTAAGGGGGTGAAAAGTTAGGACGATTCTAAGGGCCCGTGACTGACAGGGACCCCAAACATTTTTAGAACATTAACCTGTTTAGCCCTGAGCCTGTTTTTCAGGTCTCAGGCTCGAAAATGACATTCCCAGAACAAATGACCATATCTTCCCTTCTAAAAGGGTTAAATTAATAATCTTTTTCCTCAAAGTAATGATAAACCTGTGAGTTGGATGTAGAAGAGTCAGAATCAATATAGATTAGGGATGCATACCGGTATCCGGTATTACCAAAATACCGGTTACTGGTGGCTACGGTATACCGTACCGAAATCAGATCCGGTTTCGATACTTTTATAAAATAAAAATAAATAATATATATATATATATATATATATATATATATATATATATATATTTTTTTTTTTTTTAAATTAATTTTAAAAGTGAGTGTTATAAATTAGATTGCATTATCTTTTTTCTTCATATTTTATGTATTTTTCATTGTTTGTTCAATACTAGAAAGGTAAAAGTCCCACAAATGAACTGTGATGGGATTTGTTTTCTCTCACCAGTGAAGGTAAATGTTGATTTTAAAGATGAGATTTGTTTGTTTGTGCAATGCCGAGATCTCATGACCATTATGTATTTGTTCTCTAGTCGAATCTCATGTTTAACATTAATTATAACGGTGCTATAACGGTCTGTTTGCATTGACAAGATGTGCTATTCACGTGGCACACCTGATGGCGGGTGTTATAAAAGATATTCCATAATCGGTTTTCTTCATATTTTTTAATGTATTTTTCATTGTTTGTTCAGTACTAAAAGGTCCAAGAAGTCCCACAATTGAATTTAATATTCATTTGACATGTTAACTATATCGTAAAGCGCTTCATGGGAGTAATTGTGGGATGATACATTTTCAAAGTATCACGATATGTATCGGTTGAGTATCGGTATCGTTCAGTGGTATCGGTATCGATATCGGTATCGTAAAAAAGTCAACGATATGCACCCCTAAATAGATGTTTTTTATTTTAAAGAAAATTCAGATTGAACATAGTAAACAACTGTAAATTATAGTGTCTGTCCAAAAAATCTTTTTTACTTATAGTGAAAACTACCCTTGGATGATGGTAAGGTAGACTAAAAGCTTTAAGAATCCAAAGTACAACATATAATAAGTACCCTGTATCAAGATTGATGCAAAACAGGTGACATTTGACCTTTTTAGAGAGGTTTAGCAAAAAAAACTCCACCTCTGAGGTGATTTGGGTGGAAATGGGGGTTTTACCGTTTCTCTGGAACCCATTGGTCGATTTTGGTGATTGACATCTCTTTGACCGTTAGAGCCAATAGAATCAAAGGGGAATCTCCCCACTCACACACATGGTAAAACAAAAAGGTGGGGGCTTCGTGTACACATTTTGCATGAGAGTGAAGCTGTCTCTAGCTCTGACATCTGGAAACCGAAAAGCAGGAATCAGAAATCATTTCAAAGGGACACAGACACATTGGATTAACTTCAGCAGCGTTTTTATCGTTGTAATGTCATTGAAGACCACGTTTGACCAGACAAAGACACAGGTGAGCCATGTTAGCATTTTTAGCTACCTAGCGCCACATGTTTTGATGTCTGTTTTTGTTTGTAAAGTCGCGATTTCGTATAATTGAGTGATAATGAGGGTACCCTTCGATTCTGTGTCACCTCACGATGTGAAACGATGTGTTGTTGGATGTGCAAAGATAAATAATAAGGTTTTGTGAGTGAATTTCGGTGCAGTAATCTGTTAGCATTTTTCGCTTGTTGCTAATTCAGAGGCTCAGCGTTAGCATTGTGGATTTTATTTTGAAAAAAATTAAATAATGATCAGTTAGATGAGTTTCTTTCCGTTACATGGATATAAAAACATTCATAGTTTATTAAATGAACATGCCCTCAGACACTGTTTCCTGCAAGATGTTGCGGCAGTGCCCCGGTACCGGGGTCTCTCGGGCTTAACAGGTTAAGAAAAAAAATGTAAGTAACCTTTCATCAATCATCAATAATTCACATTAATATAACGTTAAATTGATAATGTACTCACTAAACTTACGATTCATTTCACTTGTTTTCTTCCAAAAGTTAATTATCCAAAGCCTCTGTACACCCCCCTCTATTTACATGTATTGGTTTGGTCCTGCCTCCAAACGCTGTGCGGCACCGCTCTTTCTAGCAGCAGAGAGTGAGAGCATGTGAGGAGGGATGCTTGTACTTACTAGGGATGGGAATTTGAAAGCAAATGTATATTCGAATATTCGACCCCCAAAAAAACAGTTAACCGATTAACCGAAAAGTATATATCCTCTAAAAAAAAAAAAGTGGATTTTACAAACAAAAATAAATACATTTTTAAAAATAAATAAATACATGTTCAAATAAGTATAGAAACCAAATCGAATTTGTAAAAATGTATTGAACTGGTGATCACAGTTTGAACAGTTGACAGCTATAGGCCTACAGCTTTCATGCTTAAAACATAACTTGGTTTTCTGATGGCTTTGGACATAAACGCGAGTGAAGTATAACCGGACGCGAGAGAGAGAGAGATCAGCACCTGCAGCTCTGCCCGCTGTGAGGGACCGGTGAGCGGAGCAAAACACACCTTTAGACCCAACACATTTAGCTATGGCACTGTCGTATACATTGAATTATTTCATTTGATAATATGTAATCAACTTAGGCACCCCTCCCAAAATAAAAAATAAAATAAAAATAAAAGAATGATGCTTTTTATCTTTGCTTTTAAATGAGTGTTTCTAGATATCATTTTATATATTTATGTTTCTTAATGTCTTTCATTTATGTAAAGCACTTTGAATTGCCTTGTGTTGAAAGGTGCTATATGCCCTGCCCCTGATTACATGGTGCAAACAGCGGTCGCGGTACTATACGTTATGTTAGAATGCTAACTTTTGGTGAATTTAGGAGAAATCTACAGATGCAAATAGACAAACTATAGCAAAAATAAACATCTAAATGTGTATTTTGTATGTTTTCCTTCCAAAAGCCTGAAAGAAAACATGTTATGGAATCAAAATAGCACAAAATCGCAAAATTGACCAGTGCATGAAAAACTATGTTTTTGCCTGCCGTGTCTCGCCTTAATAGCCAGAAGATAACCTTGATGGTGTTAATGTTTAACAAATATTAAACAAAAAAACATTTCGATTTTTTAGTGAATCACATGTTTACCAGCGTTTCTTATTTAATGGCACATTACTATAATTTATGAGTAATATACTCACAAAAAAGATGAGGTTGAAGAGGAACAGGAAGTACTTGGTCACTGTCAGGCAGCCTTTCCCCATGATGCTGGATCTGGAAACATACGAAAGTCACAATATTCGTTATACATACCGATAGAATGTTTAAACTCACAGGTCTGTCAGACAGCGTTTTTTCAGTTTCTCAATATCATTTGATTGCGAATTGAGATTGCAAATATCGTTAATTTTCTCAAGCAATTATTTGTTAATTAACTACCCAATTAATTAAAATTTGGAGATAATTTTTTCATTTCTCAGAGGACCAAGGCTGGATTCTCTCTGCCTTCTTACATTCACTTCTCATCACAACAGAAGAGTTGTTGGTGTTCAAATGTAGAATTTGGATTTAAAGTAATAAATTAATTAAATACACAGATACAAATTATATAGACAATAATAATAAAAAAATAGGGAATCCCTTTCCCATGCCACCCCTTCCCTCCCCACCCATCTTGCCATTTCACAGAAAATCCTACCTGATGTTTGTTAGCAATCGTCTGAGTTCATCAGATTATTTATATTATAGCATAACAATTTATCCAAATACATTCATACATTTTATTTTTTTAAATGAATTGAAATTTGCTCCTAATAATCTTAAATTTACATGAATGATATTACCAGATCAGCAGCTCTTTTAATAGCCTCTAATGTTTTCCCCTTAGCCTTATTAGCAGAAGCGATTGCCAGCTCTGAGATTAGTAGGTCATAGAATGATGATATCCATTGCTTAACCCGTTAAACCCCAAGCCTGTTTTTCAGGTCTCAGGCTCCAAAATGACATTCCCAGAACAAACTATATCTTCACTTCTAAAAAGGTAAATTAATAATCTTTTTTCTCAAAGTAATGATAAACCTGTGAGTTGGATGTAGAAAAGTCAGAATCAATATACAGTAGATGTTTTTATTTTAAAGTAAATTCAGATTGAACATAGTAAAAAAAAATGTAAATTATAGTTTCCTTAAAAAAGGTATTACTTATAGTGAAAACCACCCTTGAATGATGGGATAGTAGACAAAAAGCTTTAGGAATCCAAACTATAACATAATAAGTACCCTGTATCAAAATTGATGCATAACAAGTTAAATCTGACCTTATTAGAGAGGTTTAGAAAGAAAAAAACACTTCTGGGGTCATTTGAGTGTATTTACCATACCTCTGGAACCCATTGGTCAATTTTTGTAAATAGGCGCATTCACACCGCAGTACTTTTCCCACAAAGGTTCATGAGAACTTAGTTCTCATGAACTAAGTACAGATCGCGTTCACACCGGAATAAGTCCCTGGGGGAGGATTAGGCAAATGAAGCCGCTGACGTCACTTCTTCTTCTTCTGCTTTGGGTTTACTGGCAGGCCGCAAACCTACTGCCGCCCAAAGTCCCCGGAGTTGGGGACTGGCTTCAGTAGAAGCTGCTGGGACTCCTAGCAGCTTCTACTGAAGCCTTCCGAGTAAATCGCCAGAACGCCGACACCTCCTCATCTCCACCGCTCCCATGTTTTATTTTGTGTTGCCATAAGTTAGTCTCTCTGCGTTTCTGCGCTGGGCTAATGCTAATGCTAATAATGCTAATGCAAGGATAATAAAATGGCGGCTTCACAAAACTTTTTGGGAGTTTTACGGGGCGTGGTTTGCAATCCGCCTAGCCAATCAGACATAGGAACCTTTTTCTCCCACGAAAGTCCCTGCTCTCTAGCAGGGACGGAAAGGGGGTGAAAAGGTTCTCATTAACTAATTTAGTTCCAGCTCTTTTTGGTGTGAACGCAACATTTCGGAACTATATCGGAACTAAAGTGGGAAAAGTACTGCGGTGTGAACGCGCCTATTGACACCTCTTTTGAACCGTTAGAGCCAATCCATCTACACGTTACCAATAGGCGCTTTCACACCGGAGTACTTTTCCCAAGAATTAGGCCAATAGGGGGGGGGGGGTGGGGGGGAGATTTGGTTTCACACCAAAAAGATCTGGAACTAGTCCCTAGTTTGCGTGAACCTTTTCACCCCCAGATAGTCCCTGCTAGAGAGGTGGTACTTTCCTGGGGAGGAAATGGTTCGTGGGTGTGTCGGCCACACTAACAATTTCTGATTGGCTGGGCGAATTGCAAACCACGCCCTGTAAAACTCCGAAAGGTTTTATGAAGCCACCATTTTATTTGCTCGCATTAGCATTATTAGCATTAGCCCAACGCACCAACGGAGAGAGACTAACTTATGGCAACACAAAAAAAACATGGGAGCGGTGGAGTGATGAGGAGGTGTCGGCGCTTCTGGCGATTTACTCGAAGACGCTACCCAGCAGCTTCTACTGACTTTGGGTGGCAGAATACGCCGTGAAGTTGTTTGCGGCCAGCCTGTAAACCCAAAGCTTAGGAGCGGCATTTCAAAACAGTGCACACACGCTACGAGACGGAATTCCCTCCAAATTCTGCCCTACGCTCCCAAAAGGTGAGGGACCTGAAAGGACAGCTAAATGCACATCAGTCCATTTTCACCATGCCCAACAACAAGAGCAAGGCTGCTACCATAGCATCTTATCGTGTCAGTCACATTCTAGCGAAACACATGAAGTCTTTCAAAGACGGCGAAGTTGTGAAAGAAGCATTCCTGGAGGCTGCCGATGCGCTTTTGGGGGACAGTAAAAACAACAGTAGCATTTCAACAGGTTTTTGATATAATAAAAACTCAAGTTAGATACCGTTATTAATCAGCTGTAAGTTTTTGTTTGTTTGAACTTATTCATTATAATTATTGCACAAAATGGTATAAGAATGCAAACATTAAGATCTGTTCTGTTTAAATTGATTATAGTCTATTATCAATTCAGGTTAAGAAACTAGTGTTGCTTGCATCCTATTTCAAAAGGCCTCTGTAGCTTCAGATCTGAGTTGTTCTTATTAGTAAGTCTAATGTATACTTTTGTAGCAACACTATTTTTATATAATGGCAAAGAAAGGGTTCAATGTCTGTTGTGTAACTTCAGTTAAATACTTGTATGTGTGTAGGTTAGAAAGAGGTAAGATAAAGGATCTGCAGTATTGTATGAAGTATTAATCGTACAAAGGTCAGTTTTATACAAGTAGAAGTGTGTATTTACCTGGTAGGCTGTCAGTAATGGCTACACCTCTCTATTTGGACTGGTAGATCTCGGCAGACTGGCAACTTTAAAAGTAGCTCTCGGTTCAAAAAAGGTTGGGCACCCCTGGTTTAGTAGGTCAAGAGAAGAATCATCATTCAACAATACAATATGTGTATGTGAACTCCAATAATCTCAGAAACAATGTCAATAACTCGTTTCCAGAATGTTCTTACTGCAGTACATTCATAAACCATGTGTACATACGTGCCAATAGTCTTTTGGTTACAGAGAAGGCATATGGGGCTTGGAATCATCCTTAATTGACAGCACTTTCTGGTTGACAGGTAATATCTGTGTATCATTTTATACTGCATCAATTGGTGATTGACATGTTCTCAATATTACAACAAATATTTCTGACATTTCATAATGATTCAGGTCCTTTGTCGAGTAAAATATTCTTGCTAAATGTTTCTGATCTATACAATTGTTTGGGTGATGGGTTATTGGTTTGACCAAACTAACCAACTTATTATTTTCATGATTAAATGAATGTATTATATCGTTAATAAAGTCATTGAAAAATGTGTCCAACAGTCCAATGCACTGTACAAAATGTAACAATAATTTCCATAAACAGAGTGCAAGTGAAGTTATTCTGTATGAGAGCAGAGCAGGATTGTGTTTGCAGGTCTGCTGTGGAGAAGAGCGTGATGTGAACAAGTGGTGACAGATGCTATAGAACAACAGACCTCGGAGGCTAAGCTGGTCCGGCTGATCATGATCAGGAACTGGGGGGCTCAAATCCTCCAGGATTACACCCGCAAAAACAACCAGTGCAATCACAACCTCAATCTGTGAGCGGAGAGGTCATACCATCTGTGACCTGCTCGCTCTGGAGCTCCAGCCCTGTCTGTTCCTCAGCTCCAGATCCTTACATGTCTAAAGATGAAATCAGTATATCTACACTACTGTAATGTTGAGTAATGCGGTGGCTTTACAATTACAGCAGATAAGGTTTTTCAAAAAATTCAACTTGAATTATTCCTAAATTTATAACATAAATATACAAAAGGTAACATTTTAATCAAAGCCAGAAAACATGAAATATCAGCCATCCACATGCTTTTATAAAGTGGTCTCTTGGCATCGTCTTCCAATTTCTAACTTGTAAGTTCATTGGGAGCAACAAAAAAACGAAATTACGCGTTTCAATTTATTCTAATTAGCTGATTTTCAAGTGCAGTAATATTCTTTCTTTCTTTATCACCCCCCTTCACCTGGTCTCAAATCACAAGTAATATGTAGAATAAGAGTTTAACTTTTTTAACATTAACAGTTCAAGTTCAGTCCAACTAGTGCAGATTGGAAAGAGCAAAAAGTGCATCCAACTCGTATTCAACACCAGAAAAATGTCAATGACCTTTCTCCTTTCATGTGGTTTTTCATATTTACAGAAATTCTAGCCTAACATGAACGCAGCAACTCTCTCTCTGAATGGTTTTCCATCTTCTCTTCACCTCCCCGCAGCGCCCCCTCCATAAAGTAATGGCCTCTTACTGTCCAATAAATCTATGAAACTCTGGGTGAAATACGGCGGCCCGGTTCGATGTTTCCTCCCGGCAGTGAAGCCCATAGAGTGAGCTCAGCGTCCGTGTATCCAACCCATATTCCCTTCACTGTAAATGGGTTACTGTTACATGGTTGCCTGTGACAGTGGGTTGCGGGGGTGAGGGGTGAGGGGGGGGGGGGGGAGAGGGGGCACCTGCAGGGATGACAGAGGAAAGAGAATATGCAATGGGAAAGAGATTTTGGCGGTTTCAGCAAAGCCAGATGGAAGGTATTATAGACTTTAAAGAGAGCAGGCGGAAGTCTTAATAAAGACCAGGTCGGCCTCTGATACATAAGACTCTTCATTTAAGTTTAGGCTTAGACTTTTGGTAAAGAGACCTGAAAGAAGTAAAAGGATAACGATTG